GGGGGAGGGGGGTGGCCCATTGAAATCGGACATTGGCCGTGGCCGATTTGGAATCGGCCGCAGCCGACTAGGAATCGGTCGTAGCCGACTGACATTCGGCTATCCCCTGGCCAAAATCGGCTGCTTTGTTTGCAAAATCGGCCACTTTGTTTGCAAAATCGGCCGTTTTTTTTTGCGGCCGTTTTCCGGCCGAAATTTTCAGAAATCGGCTCTTTCGGCCGCGGCCGATGGAGGACAGGCCTACCGAACTCTCACACCAGCAGGACGGTTTACACCAGCAGGACGGTGACCTGAGGTGTCTGACTAGAATGAGGGTAACACTTTCTTGGCCCAGAACTTGCTATTTTCGTCTGCTGATACGTTCACGCTATGCTTATTCTGTGCTTCATGCGAAACAGGAAAACGGTATCAAGGCGGTGCTGTTCCCACGAAGATCCGACTAGCTATCGGCTTGCGGATGATGGCCGGTGCTTCGTATCTCGATGTCGCCGTGCTTTTCGGCGTGTCCAAGGAGACGGTCTTCAGCATCTTGTGGCAGGTGGTGGATGCCATCAACAGCACAGCAGAGGTTGGGCCGTTCTTTTTTCCGCAGAGCGAGGATGAGTGCACCCGGCAGGCGGCAGAATGGGAGGTGCGGAAATGATACCCTAGTTTACAGCCGCAGGGTAGATTGCATGTTTGCATTCCAGGTAGGTGACTATGATGATGTGAACAAACACATGATCGTGTTTGGTGGCGGTTGTTTGGTGGCGGTTTAGTTTCAGCATTACTTCGAATATAGATTACAGTATGCGAACAGACGTACGTGCGAACATGGCCAAGAACAGGCAAGGCGGCGAAAATGGACAGACAGGTGTTGTGCTTTGGTATGCCTACCGGGTCTGGTGTCGGAAGAGCAGTTCAATTTCACCTTTTCCGTAGGCTGCAGGCCTCCTAACGTGTATGGTACATAAGCAAGGCACCACGCTGCAGAGTCTGGCCCAAAACAAATGACGCGGATTGCATGGATGCATGCATGTCGGTCCTCCGCTCGGCAGAATATCCTGCTTGTCTAGACGCACCGAACGAGGAGCGACCGGGAAGCACCTGTGACAGCACGGGGAAACCTCTATATCTTGTGTTCACGTATTGGCTTGATGCATGGTGAAATGAGCTCCAGTTTGCAGGGAACATTGGCACGAACAGTCGCACTGTATTGATTGGCATGTCTAGGAGAGGGCTCGTCTTTAATTGCTCGCACACACCTGTACGTTTTTTTCTGGGGTAGTCGATGGGCTTGCCGCTGCCCGAAAATCAAACTTAAACGAATCTTAGAGCGCCTCTGTTGTGTCCCTTCCCGCCTGCCATGTCTCTCCTCAGGAAAAAAGCACGGGCGGCGCCTTTCAAGGTGTGGTAGCTGCGGGGGATGGCCTCTTCGTGAAGACTCTTGCTCCGACTGCCCTCAACACTCCGAACGTTCTCTCGTATTATTCTGGGAGCAAGTGCGGCTACGGGGTGAACGTACAGGCGACATGCGATGCCAACTACCGGTTTTGCAGCATGTCTTGCATTGCACCCGGCTCGACCACTGACTGGACGGCATGGAACCATTCGGATCTATCCACAGCGGTGAAAAACCTGCCGCCAGGCTTCTACATGCTCGGAGACGCGGCTTACCCCCTAAGCGACCACCTGTTGACTCCGTACCCAGGGAGGGGACTGCCGCTGGACAAAGACGCGTTCAACTTCTATCTGAGTTAACTCAAAGTCAGGATCAAGCAAGCGTTCGGCATTCTCGTCGGCCAGTGGGGCATCCTGTGGAAGCNTCATGCGCGGAGACGCGGCTTACCCCTAAGCGACCACCTGTTGACTCCGTACCCAGGGAGGGGACTGCCGCTGGACAAAGATGCGTTCAACTTCTATCTGAGCCAACTCAGAGTCAGGATCGAGCAAGCGTTCGGCATTCTCGTCGGCCAGTGGGGCATCCTGTGGAAGCCGTTGNCAGGCACGCCCCCACCTACTCGGCGACAAGACTCTGCCAGGATCTTTCAGCACGACCACCAAGGACGCGCAGAAACCGACCAGGTCAGGCGAAGTCTCCACGCGCAAGGGGATCACGATGATGCTGGACAACAAGCGCCAGTACCGCCCAAAGCACAACTTGGTGCGTAAGGCAGCGAGGAAGACGTGAGGGATCGAACGCGGGCGGGCTGCGGTGGAGGGTGGGTCCCGAGGACGTAGTGCATGGATGATG